TTTAAAATATTAAAAATAAAAAAAATTTACCATCAAAGTCATATGAAAATGATCTACATTGGACTCTACCCTTAAAGATTAGAATTGCATGATTTATAACCTGGTCAATGAGATCATTTAAACTCTACCACTTTTTATCATCTTTATCTGGATAAGTTATAATACATGCTTCTAATAAAAGATTAGAAAAAGCAGCCTAAAAAATAAACCTCAATTTTCTAATTGTAAAAAAAAAAAATAGATTAAAGCTTAAAAATTAAGTAATACCTTGTTCTCTTTATACAAAGCTAAATGTTCACCAACATCTGTGAGAAATTCACTAACTGCCCTTGGTCTTTTTTACAAAGTAGATATTCTTCTTTCAGAATCTATAACTAACATCTTTTATTATATACTAAGAAAATGCATTTATTATATATTACTAAAATTATAATATTATGATAAGCTGGTTGAGTTTTTGTTTCTATATTTTTATTAGAAAAAATTACCATATGCACTTCATATGCTAACATTCTTTCTAAAAATCTTTTATGATAAGCCATCATATTTTGCACATTCATATCTATTTATATATATTCCTTTTCTAACCTCTGAGTATTCAAAACTAAATTCTCTTAACCATTTTCTTGCTGTTCTTATGCTTATTGTTGATAATAGATTATAGCAAAGGCTTGAAAGTACTTTCTTATTAACATGGTTTGCCAGTTCATCTAAATTAACATTCCATTTGTTTGCATGAAGAAAAGACTTAATTTGCATTAAAATATTATTATTTCATAAAAAGCTCTAGGTTTTTAAATAGTTATCTTGCTTTAAAATCAGAATTGTACCATTTTGAACATAATTTATTGCTCATTTATATATGCAACAGGTATAATAAAGACTCTTGCTAGCCATTTCTGCAATAATTATACTTGTCTTAACTTTTTTTCAGTTATATTTTACAAGATGAAAATAAGTTAGTATTGTATAAAGGCAGCTTTCTCTACCTTATTATGCTTATTACTTTTAATTTCTCTTTCTAAATGTTTAATAATATTGTTCAACTTTTCAGAAGGCATAATATTATCAGTCTTAATTTCAAAATTACTTTCAGAATTACTATTCAAATTATTCATACTTATATTATTATCAATGCTTACTGCCTTTTTAAAAAAAGTTTAAATTAAAGCAATTTAAACATTAATTTATATTAAAAAAAATTATAATTCATTAGTTGTATTTACTAAAAAATAACTTATTAGTAATCAAAATAACTTTAACCTAAGTGTTCTGACTACAGCTTCTCTCTATAATTGTCTTTAATATCTTTTTGTTCTTTGAAAGTTTCCAACATATACAAGTGGCTGACATGTAATTTCTTCTGACACTGCTCATAACAACTTTGTTATAACATTGTTTGCTTTTTCAGTTTTCCCAATACTTATTTCTATATTATCATTATTAGTATTATTAGACTCAACATTACTATTACTACAAATTTTGGAGGTTTTTGTCTTATATTGATTTTTAGCTTTTTTCTACACCTTGAGTTTTCATTTCTTTTAGATAGTTATAACATTCTTAATAAATAATATTATGAGATCCTAAATACCAGCCTTTCATATAAGTAAGCACTTAAATTTACTTCTATTTTGTAAAATTAATTATATTTTATTTACCTTTCTTTTTTTTTTTTATTGCACATTCTTAATCTAATATATATATCTCAAAATAAAATATGTTTTTTTTTGAATTTTGGAAAAAAACAAAATTCATCTATACAGATTGTACCCTCCATTTTTATTACATCATGCTTACAAATTAAATATTCAAGCTACTATAATTTAAATAAATAATATATGAATCATTATTTTGTATTTGATAAAATAGGATAGATTTTTATAAATTACACAGATACAATAAAAATGACTCAAATTTGACAGGTATAATATACTAATTTTAAATTTTCATATCATGCTATTTTTAGATAGATGTAAATAAGTTGGTTTCAATTAATTTCATATATTCAACTGTTCTTTTTTTTCTACCCACCTACTCCTGTTATTTATTATATTCTATTACAGTAGATGTCGAATAGATTAACATATAAATTTTTGCTCATTTAAATCTAGTTTTGAACTTCTTATTCATTCTATTTATCTTACTTATGGCCATATATAGTGTTAAATTTTAATCTTATTTTTATTTCACATTATTTTAACTCAATACTAACAACACCTTTTTTAATATTCTTCTATATAATATACATTTTAAATTGAAAGATTTTACTTAAGTAGCATCTACAATTTATATTAAACTATTATTGTATTGTATATTGTATTGTATAAAAATAAAAAATGCTATTTAGTATTATGTTTGTATTATCTTTAAGATCAATATGACAATACTGGTTTAATATAAATTGTGAATGTCATCTTATCATTATTCAGTTTCATAAGAAAGAAATTTTACTTTATTATCTGATTGTGATTATAGTATTTAATACATTATAACAGATTTAGTAATAATAATAAAGATTATGCCAAAGTAGATCAATTATTTCACAACTCTCACCTGCAGATCTCTCGACCAAAATCATTGAGAAGCAAAACAAGGAAAATATCGCAAAACATACTAAGAAGCAACACTAGATCCCTTAGTAGAAAAGAAAGAGCAACAAAGTTTACACCTAGCTAAAAGAACAAAATACAAATAAAAATAGCATAGAAATAGCAAAGCTTGGAAAAATAAAATTTTTGCCGAAAACAAAAAATTTTTTTTTGTAAATTTTGGGGAATCCTTGTGACCTTTTGTGCAGATCAATTAGGTTACACGGAAAGCACAACAAAACAAGTAAGGTAAACAGACAAACACGTGTACGAAAACAGCCTAACAAAGTAAACACGTGATTTAGCAACAGCTACACCAAACCAACTAACAAAT